TTATATATCCTGCACTCTGTACATTGTTCTTATTTACTAATAGATGTATGCTAGTTTCTATGGGCTTTTTCTGGGAAATAGAGTGATTAACTCATTCTGACTTGTCCAGGGTTTCCCTAGTTTTAGCACTGAAAATTTGGCCTCCTGGGTACCTGCTCAGTCCCAAGCAAACCTTGCCAGTTGGCCCCTCACCAGAAGGAATACTTAACCCGGAAAAAATTTGAATGGTTCCCAAATTTTACTCTTAAATTCAGATATCTGAATAAAAGCAGGGGGAGGGAGGTGCAGAATAATGAACAAGCCTTCATTTTTTGCACTGAGAAATATGAGTTTCTTGGGGAGAACAGCATTCATTGTCACCTTCCTTGTAAATTATGCCTAAGATTTAAGAAATGAACAGCAGCCTCCTTAAGTATCGTTTTGCAGCTCAGTACATGACTGAACACAGATTTTTGGAATTGGGAGTGAGAGCAAAGAGCAAAAATGTGTTTCTTGAACTATCTGAAGAGCAGCCTTGCTAGTTCCTCCCTCGCGTGTTCTATCTAGGCTCATTTCCTTGGTGCTCTTTTAAAAAGGGTGTTTCATGGTGGGCCTGGAAACCGAAGCCCTTCCTTATCTAGGCCCAGCCCCATTTCTATGCATAACTTCTCACGGCCATTTACTGAAGATTGCGGAGGATTCGCCTTTAATATCTTTCCTTTTCCTCCGCTTGGTATGCCCCTCCCCCAGGTCCTCTGAAGTGACTCAAATGTTCTGTTGGTCTAAGTGCAAAACTATTTTTACCACAGTGTTTGGGAATCTCTGGGCACAAACTGTCTGCCGATTAGGTAAATTACAGGTGCAGAAGCTCATGTTACTCATTTAGCTGTCACAAATTGAAAGCACTAATCTGCCTCTTCTGAGTTTTGCCTTTCAGTCAGCGGGCTCCTCCTTTATCGTCTATTCTTTATGACTACTCTCTGCCCTTGCTAGGTGACCCTTTGCCCTGAGGGCTAGCCTGCGTTCTGTTCACTCTTTTTGGCTCCTCTTTCTCTTCTCTCTTTCTCTCCTTTCTTCTACCCCCTTTTCTTTCTTATATTTTCATAGTTGAAAGAGTATAATCATGTTCGATCTGGCCCTCAGTTCTGATTTTTCAGCTATGGCTCAATCTGCTTTCTTTGAAGCTTGACTATGTAGCCAAATCCCCCAGCTATCACCAACACAAATCTCTTCACTAGTGTCTGACACACATCTGTGTCTCTGTGTCTATTTCTTCCTTGAGCTTCCTCTGACTTTCACCATCATCCTGATACTTTCCAAAAGCTTTCCAAAAACTTGAACTTTGTTCCCTAGAAATACCACCACAATGTCTCAGGAACTTCTGTTCCCAAACCATCCTTTTCTCCAGTTTCCTGTTCAGGAGGGATTTTATTGTTACACACCCTTACAGAACTACATTCCTTTCTTTCAAAGTTCCTAACTAGGTTATTCATTTGTGTGACTTTTAGTTAGTATCTTTGTCCCCCAGTAAACTGGAAATGTAATGAGCGTATAAATAAACTCTGTTACTAGAGTGACTAGCTTCAATATTTTTACCTTAACACAAATAAATGTCCAAATTTATCAGCAACATCTTTCTCACCAAATCTAGGTTTTTCAATGAATTCACTATGACTCTTTCCATCAGAAGCTTTACAAACTGAGTAGAAGAAGGAGAATTAATATTTGTTGAGTACATGTTCCACACCATGGGCTCAGCATATATTATTTCATTTAGTGCTAAAAGCAAGCCTGATACACATAATGTATATGTTTTTTGTTGAAACTATGGCTAGAAACACATACTTAAGAATGGCTAGAACACAGATTATTTCTCCAAAGCTCTCTTCTCTTTCTACCATATATGCAACCCTTCCAAAGACTCATAGCTAAAATCTACTGATATGAGCTAGCCATAATACTTTTTCTCCCACTTCTTTCCACAGAAAAGAATGGGAAACACTCAGCCTTTTTTTTTTTTTTTAGAAGAAGGGAAAAAAGTCATTTATAGATGATTAAGCAGGAAGTAAGAACAATGGGGTGATAAACTACATGAAAACTTCCAATTCTATCACTAACCTGATTTCAGATTTTATGATGAATGAACTCTAGTTTCCTTGGAGTGATTTTATTAATGTTAATACGATTATTCCCTTATTATCATTTACTTTTTTCATAATTCAAAAAAATTTGAACGATTTAAAGCTTGCCTCCAAGCTTTAAATAGTTGCAGTTTACGTAAACCTGATTTAACCACTTGCCAAGGTCTGTGTCTCCAAGTTCTACTGAGAAGTAATATAATTGCAATTACAGGCATCTCATATTTTATAAACAATTTGAGTTCCAAGAGTTCACTAGTTAGTAGTTTGGAATCAGTGCGTATTTTCCCGTTGACCTAATCAAATAAACGGTGTTTCTTTCCCAAGCTTGCATTTCCTTGTTTTCTCCTCCCACCTCCTGGCCTCAACCCTCAAAACAACAACAAAAAAGGGGGAAAAATCTGTTTAAACCAAGGTGAACACTCATACTAACTTTACTGCTCTGAGTTCTAGACCATGTTGAAAAAGGGGATTTATAATTTAATAAGGAACAATTCAATAGGTGAAGGTTGAATTTACACCAATAAAAGCTACCCTTGCCTAAGAAGTTGCTCTTGATCATCATCCCAAAGCTTTATGTACATTTTTTTAAACAAATAATTCTCTTTCTACATTTCTATACTGGCTCTTTCTCCAGTGGTGACACTTGAATGAAAGAAACAGAAAAAGGAAAAGGTGGACTTTCATATTTTTTAGCAGGCTTATGATGTGCAGGCTTTCCAACATCTATCTGATACCTCTTAAAATCAGTGATGAGTCTAAGAATGGTTATGCCTTAAATGTTATTTCTTTACCTGGGCTTCAAAATTGCTTAGTAGTGATATTTTTCTCCTCTGAAAATACTAATTCCAATAATAAAAGTACTTTTAGAGAGAATGCTACATTTTTCAAGTGGATTTCATATTTGTAAAAATTTAATTTTTATAACATCCTGTGAATATGGATGTCCTTTGTCATCATACCAATATTATGGATGAAACATCTGAGGATTTGAGATAGTAGGGTTGACTAAATCCTCACTGGCCTCAAAAGACTATAATCTAGGCCTTTTCCATCCCAATTCCAAGGCTATTTCTCCTGTTTGATCTGTTAATTTAACTCACCACTTTAGATTCAGACTCCATGAGAAGAGAGATTTTTTTTTTAATGTTTTATCCTTAGCACCCAGGACACTATCTGGCACTTGATAGATACCCAATAAATGCTGAATTAAAAAAATAGTCATTTTAATATTCATGATCTTAATGATTTTTATCATAATAATCTTAGTTCACTTTTCAAATTGTCTTCACATTTGCAAGAGACAGCATAAAGTGTGGGTAAGTGCAGAAGCTAATTTTCTATAATAGACATTAGATTATACCGAGTTGCTGAAACTTTCAATCTGCAGTTTACATTTATGAGACAGCGTAAAGTGTGGTTAAGAGCACAAGCTGATTTTCTATAATAGATGTTAGATTATATCCTGAGTTGCTGAAACTTTCAATCTGCAGTTTTGATTGCTGACTTGAGCAACCAAGAAACCAAGAAAACCAAGAAACCAAGAAATAGAAAAAAAAAAAAGTCACAGGAGATGTATTGGCCTCTTATAACTCTTCTCTCTGCTTCCTATCATTCCAAAAATCTAAGAATGGTTATTAAACTTGGTAAGGAACAAAAACAGCCAAAAATGTCAAAACTTAACATCCTAAGTCTGTGGCTCAATAAAAACTGTAAAGAATCATCTTCTGGAAAAGGCGACTTAAGTTAAAAATTATCTAAATTATCTGACAGTTGATTTCCTGCATTATCTTTGCTCTATTCATTTTTAAAAATGAAGTCACAAAGAACACAGCTTATAATCATCACTCCTTGGGGTAGAGCAATAAGATTCCATGTTTCCATGTAGTTTTTCAGGCACTGACTATAAAGACCAAAACCAAGGTTGACTGTCATTCCAAAGGCCACTTACAGATAGGAAATCCTTCCAGAGCTCTAGGAGGAAAAGGGAAAGGAAAGGAAAGAACAACAAAACAGAGGGATGGAAGAAAAAAAAAAAACAACTCTCCAACAGCTATGCTTTATTTCATTCATAGAAATGTGTGTTTGGCCTAGCATGGCTTTATCCTATAATTGATAACTACTGTTCACCAAGCAGCTAAGTGCTATATGCTTCACATGCATGGTATTATTTGATTGAATCCTCACCAAAACTCCGTAAGGCAACCACTGTTATCTTGAATACTCAAGATCTAGTACTTACCTATGGATATATACATAGAAATTAACCTTAGTAGGACTTGAAGAGAGTTCTTTGGAATCCAGGGCCCCTGCACTTCACCTTTGTATTGTACTCTATCCCAAAGAACAATACATGTGTCTACTGGATCATGGGCAAGCTGCAATGTAAAAAATGCTATTTCCTTGTCTGTGCCTTGGTTGCTACTTTTCTCACTTAAATCCCATCAAACAAATTATTTGCAGTCAATGCATAGTGAGAATGCAATAGAAAAAGTGGTGAGCACACAGTGTGCAGAACTGGAGTCATAAGAGAGCCACCTTGAAGGGGACCACAAGTAAATGCTGAAATATCAAGTAGCTGTGGTGTGAGTCTTGTTTTCACTAAAACTATTTTTAAGGAGGAGTTACTACTTGTATTGCAACCCCATCCTCTATCCCACCCTCTACCTCATATGTAATACTGCTCCACAAATGGAAGGGTACAGAATTCAGATCCTTGTTGCCCCCCCAAGGAAAAAAAAAAAAAGATAGTAAGGACAGTCTCCATGGAAGGACCCAGGGAATCATTTCATCCAGTATCATGGGCTGTGAGCACTCTTCAGCCACCCCCTCCAGCTCCCAAATCACCTTGCAGCCTTAGTAAAAGAGAGGAAAGAGATTTACCTGCTTCTATTGAGGCTGAAGCCTGAAAGTCATGTATAACCTTTGAAGGACTGTAATGGTTTTAATCACAGGAATAGCATCTTTTTGAAAGGCAGGAGAGAGAAAGGAGCTGAACCACTCTGCAAATATTAACTAGGCTATTTTGGAGCAATGGCTATTGCCTTTGAAATCTTTCATCATGGGTCTATACTTAGAATTCAGAGGAGCACAGGGGGAGGAGAATAGGGCAATGTTAATCCCCAGTTGTTCTGAAGTTGTCCTGTAAGCAGGTTAGTATCTAAAATGCCCAAAATGGAAGTGTTCAATCCTTTGTTTAAATTATGTGATTAATTCTGCGTAACCTGGTCTGCACATAGATTGTCACAACACTCTGGGAGGTGACAGTTCTCAGTTTTCTTTCAAACTAGATGTTCTAGAGAGCTCTAACTGCAATCACATTGGGAGACGGATGCTCCATGACAGCTAAAAGTTGGATTGAGTTTCAGGAGCTACTATATATAAAGCTGGGTCGACTTATGTCACTGGACTAATTAAATGCCATCTGGGTGGTTCCTCTGGGTTTTTGAGTCCATCACTCAGTTCAGATCGAGTCAGAGGCCAAGGAGGAGAACATGATGATGGACCTTTTTGAAACTGGCTCCTATTTCTTCTACTTGGATGGGGAAAATGTTACTCTGCAGCCATTAGAAGTGGCAGAAGGCTCTCCTTTGTATCCAGGGAGTGATGGTACCCTGTCCCCCTGCCAAGACCAAATGCCCCCGGAAGCAGGGAGCGACAGCAGTGGAGAGGAACATGTCCTGGCGCCCCCAGGTCTGCAGCCTCCCCACTGCCCCGGCCAGTGTCTTATCTGGGCTTGCAAGACCTGCAAGAGAAAATCTGCCCCCACTGACCGGCGAAAAGCCGCCACCCTGCGCGAAAGGAGGAGGCTAAAGAAAATCAACGAGGCCTTCGAGGCACTGAAGCGGCGGACTGTGGCCAACCCCAACCAGAGGCTGCCCAAGGTGGAGATTCTGCGGAGCGCCATCAGCTACATTGAGCGGCTGCAGGACCTGCTGCACCGGCTGGATCAGCAGGAGAAAATGCAGGAACTTGGGGTGGACGCCTTCAGCTACAGACACAAGCAAGAAAATGTAAGCCCAGATGCTCCCGGGGCAGGGAAATGCAAAGGCTGATTAAACGCCTTCCTCCGGGCCTTAACCTCCAGCTGCTTGGTATTTTTTCCCTTCCCCCGTGCTCGCCCGCCCCTCCCGCTCCTTCTCTAATGAACCCCCAGTGACCCAAGAAGACCGGGTGCCTGCAACAGGCAGGAAACGCGTACCCGGCCCGAGGAAGCAGGAAAGCTCCCCCTACCCCCACCCCCGGAACCGACGTTTCTTTCCTAATCTTCTGCTGCCTTGGTTTTCCCTCCAGCTTGAGGGTGCGGATTTCCTGCGCACCTGCAGCTCCCAGTGGCCAAGTGTTTCCGATCATTCCAGGGGGCTCGTGATAACGGCTAAGGAAGGTAAAGCAAAAGAAAGGGCTCTGGGCCGCACCAGAGAAAGTCCGGGAGGGGAATAGGATGCTCGGGCCGAGAGGGTTCGAAACCAGAGCTGGGACGCGCCCTGCACAAAGGGCGCTCTTTGCGCCTAGGGACCAGGCCCTTCTGAGCCGCCAAAGCGGCCTCGCGTGGGGCGCGGAGTTGCTTCGTTTTCCTTCTTTGGGTACTGTTTGTGTGTTTGTTTTTTGCACACAGGAGGAGCAAGTACTGATTCGTCAGCCTCGAGCAGCCTTCGATGTCTTTCTTCCATCGTGGACAGTATTTCCTCGGAGGAACGCAAACTCCCCTGCGTGGAGGAGGTGGTGGAGAAGTAACTGGGCCGGCGCTTGAGACCTTCTCCATGCAGCAGGAAGATCCAAGCCACCCACCCTTCCTGGCCTAATCCTTTAGATTAGGTCACGTTACATTAACATTTAGGAACCCAGACCGAAAAGCTGGTGAAAGGGAGAGAGACATATTCACAAAGAAACGTTTCAAAAACTGTTGTGCACGCTCAAATGAAAAAGCCTTTCGGCTTTGGGCTTTTATTTTTTTTTGAACCGCGAGTGGCTTAGGTCTAGCCTCCTTATTATTTTTGTTGTTGTTGTTGTTTGGTTTTATAATACATTAACGTTTATTACAGTGATCCTTTTGTGCCATATTCAAAAGAAGTTCATTCCTGTCTAAAGTGGGAACGTTGCATTTAATGTTAGGGGTATTTAATGTATTTTTGTAAATAGTTTAGCACTTTCATTTTTTATGTAAACCTAAGAAATATATTTTAAATGTGGAATGATGTATATAAAATGTGCGAGGATCCTGGAATTGTAATATTAAAAAGAAGTTTCTATATGAACAGAGTTGGGTCCTAATTTTGATGAAACTGGAAAAAATATGTTTGGAGGCATGTGTACAAAAATAAAGAGGAGCCATATTTTAATTTAGATATCACACAAGCCCATTTATTTGGGTGTTTTCTTTAAGGCCAATTGAAAGGGAGGAAAATTGGTTTTCCTTAGTCTGAGTTAAGCTGGATACTTTTCTACCTCCCATATACCTCACACTTGTAATTGGAAGCGAGTAGTGCCCAGAAGAAATCTGTCCTTTTTCCTTTTATCTTTTTCCTTCTGTTTTTACATTCCTATACCTGGAGATCCGGGTGAGATTTACTTACCAAAGTTAACAATGGAATTTTCAATCTAGGAAAATTTGGTTGCAAGAAATTACCACACCAAAACTCTAGTCATTTCCCGAAAAGATCCTCAGCGGATTTAGCCCCAATTGCATTCCTTCTTAGCCTTCCCTGGTGGCTCTTGTCCTGCCGTGTGGATCTGGAGCTCCCCGGGCTGCACTGGCCTGGGGACGGCCCTCTGGCCTCCTCCCCAGTTTTCTTGAACTAGACTGGTCCTTAGCAGACTGGAATATCCTCAATGCCTCGTTTGGCTTGAGTTTGTTTTCCAAATACAAAAGATAAAAGAAATGGGCAGTCTGTCTCTCGAGGTGGGGTGGGCTGCTTTGAAGGGAGGGCTGCTTCAAGTGAGGGAAGGTTTCAATGGTTGAAGGCAAAAGACAACAACAACACACATGAAACCTCTTAGCCGGACCAAACAGCAAAGCCCCAGAGAGGCTTGAAGCCCCAGGAGCTCCTCACCATGCGGATTTTACAACGTGTGCCAGGTTTGTTTATCCTGTAACCTCAGGAAGAAACGACCACCAAGAAACACAGTGGGAAGTGAGGCCGAGGAGAGCAGGAAGCCATTTCTTTTGAATGGCGACTTCTCTCTTAGATTCTGTAAGTGGCACCTTCACTCCCTCCCCTCACCCCTAAACCTCTACCTTTCCTCCTCCTCCCCAACAGCTAGTCTTCAGTTCGCAGGTGTGAAAATCAAATCGGATTCAGTATTTCCCAGCCCACCCTTTGCTTCCTAACCCTCCGAAGGCTGGACCTTCCTGCTGACCACCTAAGTTCCAGATAACACCACAGACAGCGCCCCCTGCAGGTACAGAGCTCCTTTTCCTCTCAGAAAAGAAGGCCTTTTCCTGGGGTGAATAGTTAGTTTTCTGGGTATATGGAAAATTCAGATTTCTTCTACATTTAATATGCAGAAAGATTCATAGAGAAAGCTGACATTGATATACAATCTCTTTTAAAGGTTTGGGAGAAGCAGGTGGGAGATTTAGTGGATGCAAACTGCTGAGCCTGTGTGTGGTTGACTACCTAGCTGGAATCCAGGCTGCCACTATTTAGGGCTACCCTGCTCATTCTTAGTCCCGTTTCCTTCTGAGGTTGTGAACATTCACTGAGATAACACATGTGATGTGCTTAGCCAAAATGGCACAAAATAAACACTAGATACCAGCTCTCTTCTTCATTGGTCAATCTAAGACCCTTTTCTTCCATCAAAAGCCATAGTTTCTTCAGCCTGTGCTTGCTCTGGCTGGGGAAAGTATTGACAACAAGGAGAACAGAAACAACATAAATAAGCCATTCTTAGGATTTAAATATTAACTTGTAATCCTACAACAGATCAGAGAGGTACCATTGTTGCTTTTACTTTACAGAAGATTCTTGGAACAGAGTTTCCTATACTTGGTAAGTACTGCATAGAGCCAGGATTCGGAGACAGGCAATTATCAATGCATTCAAGCCTGTGCTTTTAACCATCATGCTCTATGAAAGAGACTCCTTGGCACATTGGCAATTTCTTTCTTTCCTCCTTTTTTTTTTTCTTTTTAAGGGATGGTGTGTCCCTGTTGCCCAGACTTGAACTCCTGGGCTCACGTGATCCTCCTGCCTCAGCCTGCGAGTAGCTGGGACTACAGGCTCATTCCACTGAGCCCAGGTTGCCTTAGGAAATTAATAAGCAACATTTTATGGTCTGTTGAATAATTTGGCTCTCCTTGACATTTGTTTTCCAAAAGCTCTTTCTTAAGACTGGCTAGCTAGTGAACTCCAAATTATAGTAGTAACTTAAAAAAAAAAAAAAAGTGGTGAAGCATTTCAAATTATCCAACCAAAACATGTGTACATATGTCTGGGTAGTGTCTATGCCCATTAATTATGCTTATTAGATCCCCATAATGTTCTCCCTAAGAATCAATAGGGATTTTCCCTAAAATGTATATATGCACACATATATTTTTAAAATTCAGATTTATTATGCAACACAAAATAATGTAACTGATTAGGTGAGCTCATTTAATTTATAATTTAGCATATATTTACAGTAAGATGTGTGTTATAAATGGCTCAACAGCAGAATGCTTTTATTAATTCATGGACTTCACATGTTGATGGATTTTATTCAGTCTTTGCAAGCCAAATCCTCTCTATCTCTCTTAGCTGGGTAACTTGAGAAATTGTTTGGAATAAGTTTGCCTATAGAAGTCTCTTCATTAAATAAAGCAAATATTTCCCAAAGACTTGATGTGACCTCCACTGCTACAGATTACATGTTGGGCTTTCCAATGAAATCCTTGGTGTGTTTGCAATTAAAATGTTTTTGTTTGATATTAATGATGATAATCTTTACTGAGGCCAAAGCCAAAATAAACAGGGCTGTGGAAGCAGAAAATCAAGACATAATAACTTGGTAAAGATAAGCAGTTTGGGATTAAATTCAAGCCTCTTTCC